AATTTAAGAAATAATAATTAAAAAAAGTTATTATTAGTAAAAAATTTTTTATAAAAGATATATAATAAAAATTTTTACATTTAAATAAATCTCAATACTTAATAACTTAATTAAATAAGATAGAATTAAAATTTTATTTTGAAAAAATAATTTATTGATATTTATCTAAGATATAAATCTTTTTATATTAATCTATATTATTATTTATATTATTTATCTATTAATAAATAAATTTTAATTAATTTCTATTTTAATGTATTATTTAATTTATTAAAAAAATATTAAAAATTAACTTTTTAAATAAATTTTAAATTTTAAAATCAAATAAAATAAAATTATATAATTTAAATTTTTAAATATTAAATATTATATTTATTAATCTTATATTTACTAATTTTTTTATTTAAATTTTTTTTTATAAATTAAATTTATTATATTTTATAAACTAATAAATATAAATAATTTATTAAATAATTATGTTTATTTTTATAATTATAAAATTAAATAATTAATTTTATTAATAAAAATATAAAAATTTTCTTTTTATATTAAAATTAATAATTTTTATTAAGAAATAATTTTAATTTATAATATTTTTTCAAATTTTTCTGAAAGATTATTCTAATTAGAAAAAAAATTTATAGTAATTTTATAATAAAAAAATTATTTTAAAATCTAAAAATATAATTAAATTATAAATTATATATTATATTTTAATATAAAATATAAATTTTAAATTTTAATATAAAAGAAAATTTAAATCTTATTATATTTTATTAATAAAATTAATTTTTTAATTTTATAATTATAAGAATTTTATATTTTATATTTAAATTTTTAAAATAAATATAATAATTTTTATAATTATAAAAATAGAAAATTAATTTTATTAATAAAATATAATAATAGTTAAAGTTTTTTTATACTAAAGTTTATAATTTTAATAAAAAATAATTTTTATTTTTATATTAAAATTTTTTCAGATTTTTTTATTATAAAAATTTTTACAAATTAAATTTTATAATAATTTTGCAATTAAAACAAGTACTTTCATAAAAAATCTAAGAATCTAAAAAAAATATATTTTAAATTATACTTTATTTTGATATAAAAATAAAATTATAAACTTTTAATAAAAAGAAAATTTTTATTTTTATTAATAAAATTGATTTTCTGATTTTATAATTATGAAAGTCATCATAATTATTACTTTTTATAAAATTCTTTTCTAATATCTAAATAAATTATTTATATTTAAAAATTAAATTCATTTTAATTATTTGTCATTTTATATTTTATTATAAAATATAAAATTTTATTTTTAATTTTTTTTAAAAATTCAAGTATTATTAATATCTTAAAGAAAATATTATTCAGTTTAAAAAGAATATCATTTAATATAATCATTTTAAAGTATTTTTTAGATTGTATTTATATTTAATTACTTTCTACATTCATACATACATTACTCGCCGATCCGGATTAAATAAATTTGAATATATCTGAATTGGCCAAATTCGGATGGCGCTATCCGATTTTAGTGTTTTGGTGCTGACAGTGCAAATATTAATATCAAATTTTAAAAGATCTTTTTTTGAGCATCCAATTATTATCTTTCATCAGCCAATATTTGTCGTGAACATTTTTATCATGAACACCATTCTTAATATCTTCAACACGATGTATTCCCTCTTTGATTTTTGTGAATCAAATTACAACATGCAAAGACTATCTATGTATGCATCTTTATATTATCTATTTAGCGCTTGCACCAACAGCAGCTGATCCCAGGGAAATTTTCACTTGCATCACGTCAAGAGTAACTAATAAAAAATATTGAATTAATATTAAAACGGCTCCTATAGAAATAACCTTGGTACCCTATTTCACAAAAAATCAAAAAAAAACCTCGTAAATTATTCTGCTTTGTAGTAATAGTTTGTTGTAGTGATTCCAAATTCTTTTTTATATAATCTACTTTGTCTGTAAAAAATTTGACTGCGTCATCGGTGGACTATATAAATATAGAATAACCAGACGATTAATTGAACAATAATTAGCAATTAGCATTACTCGACATCCAAATCCAAACCCCCGGGCGCGTATAAAAAATATTTTGTGAATTAAGCAGACAAAACCTTTTCCACGTAATACCCGGTACCAACATCAACAATCACTTTTTCGGTATCTGATAGCTCTCCAGGGACATAAAGGTGTTGATTGGAAAAAAAGGATTTTAGTTAAGAATTCATTGGAATTACTACTTATATAATATATTTGATGATTAATTATTAAAGATAATAAAATAAAAAAGGATATTGATTCCGTCAATGGTAACAGAATTTCTTTTTCTATATATTAATAAGTGAACGAGGTATTAAGACTGTATTGATGGGGTTAATTAGAATTAAATATTAACATAATAGCCATAATCACCCGAATTCCCAGATTTCACAGCGTGCACACTAACAATACAATCCTGAAACTTGCTCTGCGCTTGTTTCAATTGTGCAAAAGAATTCGTCAAATGCGATAATTCCTTAATTTGGTTTATTAATTTATATGAATTTTTAATTGAATAGAGAAATACAATTTTAATATGTAAAATTTAATGAAGCTAATTCTAGCGCTATAAAAGTTCAATCGAATCACTCAACAAACAATTCTTACTTCCTCTAATTGTTTCTTAATTTCTGCCAGCTGCTGTAAATCTAAATCCGTCAATTCTACAGTGGACTGAGAAGAAGCTGTTGATGTAGTAGTTGACATATCATTAATTT